TATATATATATATATATCCATAAGATAGGAGTACTTTAATATTGTCAATTTAATAGATTAAAAAGCATGGCTTTGAAACTGTCATTGCATTTTCTTGTATTCATGTTGAGACTGAAGTGGTTTCTTTTGTTTTGACAAAGAAGCAAATGACTTTGGTTCTTTTTTGGAAATCAATCATTGGTTTGTTTGAATATTTTTGACTTTTTGTATAACTGTTTTTGTGTTTATTATTTAACAGGTTTATAAAGTGTGTGTATGTGTGTGAGTGTGCATGTGTGTGTGTATGTGTGTGTGTGTGTGAGTGCATGTTAGTACTGTGGCTTGAACTCAGACCCTCACCCTCTTAGGACTTTTCTTTCTGAGCTGCCTTCCAATTGCAAACCTCTGATCTCAGCCTCCTAAGTAGCTTGGAATACAGGACTGAGACTCTAGGCCTGAAATTAGACAATGGAAATATTAACCTTTTTTATTTGCCATATTTGTAACAAATGTCCTTTACTTCACCCCCATGATTTTGTCATTAATTTTATTCATCTAGAAAGTTAGAGTTTCTTAACAATTAACATTGTAATTTAAATTAAGAAAATCTATAAAAGTAGTTTTCATTTTTAGTCTCAGAATGTATTTTTAAATGTCTTAATTCTATCTTCCACTTTTTGCTGAGTTACTATTGTAAAAGCATTTTTAATCTCTTAAAGATATTTTATATTAGTTATTTCAAAATTATTCATCAACAATCATATTTATGTCTACCAAATCAAATTCCTTGCACTTCTCCTTGGGTATAGAATTAATCTAACTGAAATACATCTTTAAGTAATTTGTATCACAAAATGACTACCATCAATATCTTGTTTTCTTCTAACTGTAAATTGCTGTTTTAATTTAATATGGAATCCAGGTTTAATGTTAATTTTTCTGAGTACTTTAAGGATGATTAAAGAAGAAAATAGAAAAATTACAATTACTAGTATCATACACAATAATTCATTAAATAATTAGGCATACAAAAAGCACTAAAATTTATATAAGTTCATAATTATAAATATTAGGATGTTTGGTGATACTGGTTGATGAATCAAAAACAAAAGCTTTAGGAACGATATTAAAAGTCATAGAAGTTACCTACTTTTATTATGGTTTATTGGGTAATTTGGGTAAATTTTTGAAATTTGCAGAACACATATGTAGAAATAAATCTACTTGGTACTATTGATCCATAAGAAATATTAGAGGAGGAACTAGAAAGGGAGAAAGAATAAGGAAGTATTCCAGTTCCTCAGTTGGAAAATTTAATAAACTGTACCTTTAAATTTTGTATTTTCTATCATTTTAAAGATTCACTTTGGTCAATTCTGGAAAATTTATATGCATTGTCATTTATGCATTATTTTTCTCATACTTGTGTGGCTTCTTCTGAACTTTCTACTACATATATATACATATATATATATATATATATATATATATATGCTGAATAGTCTCCACATGTTTTCCTTCTGTAATAAATCTTTTTTAAATTCCATATCTTTTTTTGTCCATGCCTTTTTTGTCCCAATATGTCATCCCTCTTATAGTGTAATTATATTAAATGTCTGGAGTTGGGTTGATCTTTTTATTCCTGTTTGGTCATGACTTTCCTCAGCTGGTCTCTTTACTTATGGGGCTTATAATTTTTTAATATGATTTTGTCACCAGCAAGGATTGCATTCTAGGAAGAAATCCTTTCTCCCTGGCTTAAAATGATGTTTTAAAGATTGCATCTTTCTAGATCCCAGGAATTCTGACAGTGGTTAAATATTAATTTTCAACTTCAATCATGTTTGTATCTAAATAAACATATCTATTGCAGAACTCAATTCCTGATTTTGTGAGAATTCTGTCCATTTTGACAGCTACAAACCAAACTTCCGTGTGCCTACCTTTTAGGTATAGAGGTTTTCTAGTCAACCTTCCCCAGGGATTATATCCCCTCTAAGTTCCTAGGCTTTTGGAAAGAGGTTTCATCCTGGGTCCTCACCTTGTGTGAATAAGGACTCTTATTGTCTGCTCTTTTATCTGACAAGCCCTCAGATTCCAGTTCCTCAGCATGCTGGCCCAGTTTGATAGCACTTGGACGTCAGTAGTAAGTCCATTTTAAATGTCTTATGGACTTGCAGATCATGCTCAGTTCTCTGTGGAGGCAAAACAGAAACAAATTCAAATCTTGTGTAGTTTTAGTTAGAGGGCTTGATCTTGAATCATCTTGAGGATGTTATTTCAGATCATCTTGAATAGAGATGAAGCTCTCTAAAAAGCTCCTTTATCTTTTTCGCATATGCCTCTCACACTTCACATACTCACTAGATTTTTACAGGTAAGCATGAGCATAGACCTTCTATTTAGCTATGTATGTAGACTATAACATCATAGTGTGCATTATATATTGTAGTGATAGCACTTTTTTCCAAGTTTGGTATTTATCTTTCACATGTTAGCTTAGGAATCCACACAAACACATGTATATATCAATGATTAATGTACCATGTAACACTTTCTTCACTACTTTTATTTTGTTTCACCAACAACAGCAATGGGTAATGACAAAAATGAAGACCATGTAGGCAAATGCACCATTGTTCTCCATTTGTTTATCAAAAGTTACTAAGATGTCTGTATGCACACTGTTATCTTGACACTTAAATGAATCAGAGAATATAAAAAAAGGTCATTTATTTATTAGGCTATTTTTTTTCATCTTGGCAAAGAATAGAAATTCTTCTTGCCTAAAAATGTAACATCAGAGAGAAGTTAGCTATCCATGAAAACACTATTTGGGGCCTCTTATTTCATAGGATTGGAGCTTGTTTGTATTATAATCACCTTGCAGACTCACTTAGTGTGTTCTTATCGCTCTTACTGACATATTCTCTGTTAGTAAGTGTTAATGAAGCTTACTCCATTTGGTATTTTTACAGCTCAGACAATGGAATACCTTTGGATCCCTTGAAGAAACATCTGGTTCTGATACAGAAATATTTCCATTATCTGTGGTGACAGAAGAAGATTGTGAAATTCTGAAAATCTCAGCCAAGGATTATGCCAACTTTAAGTCTGTATGTTGTCCACATCTTTTTATTCTTAAATTTTTATGTAACCTTGAGACATAAAGATTTGGTTTATTTGATGACGTTCATTGTAAGAAGCTTCTGTTGGTAGTGAGCACTTGAGAAGAAAGCAAATTCTCTTTGGATGCATCTATATATTTTTGCCTATTTTTCCCTTGAATTTTAAACTTATTTATTTATTCAGTAAATCAGCAAGTGGGTGTTTGGCTATCAAAGCATGCTGGCTATCAAAGCAAAATTATACTAAATGATCGAATGACTAGAATTTCTACTTCCCTTCTATCTTAGTCTTATTTTGGAGTAAAGGAATGGTATTTCAAAATTATAACAGACATACAATCTCAGAGTTGCATGAGTATGTAATCAACTGAATTCTGGTCTCCTAATTCTGCTACTTTAAGATGATTCATTTATGCAAAATAATTAATCTGATATTATAAAATGTCCCTCTCTGTTTCAGTTTCTCTGAATGGTAGAGGAGAATCTCCATGGTTCTGCTTTCAGTTTTTTTGGCAAGGCCTTAACCCTTGTACAGATCCTGCAGGGTGCTGGCATGTCCAGTGCTAATATCAGAGAATATAAAATATTCTTATTCCTACTTTTCATCTGTAGTAAGGAAATTATATTTATAGTATTATTTTTAATAATAATGTGATATTTTTCTTAGAGTTCAACTCTATTCCAAGTACAAATTTTTAATTTGTTTTGATTTTTAAAATGGCTGACTTAAAATTATTTTTGTTTTTATTTCTCCAGTAGTATCACCCACATGATACTATCAGATATACATTTTGAATGCAGTCTTGAATGTGACAGGGTTTAAAATGCTTATGTTTATAGAAGCATAAATGTTTTGAAAGAAAGATGGAAAATAGAGTTTTAAAAAGCATGTCTGAAGATTAAAATTTCTATATTAAAATTTCTCAATAAAGTTGAAATGTATTTTGTACTCATTTATTTTTAATGTTTTTTTCTTTTCTTTTTCTCCTACTTCTTCACTACCTAATACTAGAAGTTTGAAATTACATTCTCTTTCAGGAAAATTCAAAGTATGATAAAATGCAAAAGATGAAACTGATTCGTAAGTGTCCTTATTATGAAAACTGGCCTACTTTATCCATATATGAATTAACTTCATTCATTAAATGGAAAAAATTTCCTCCAGATCATGGTGAGTTTAATTTTAGATAATTTTTCTTTACATTATAATATGATTTTGGAATTTATAAATTGTCATAATTTCAATATTTAAATCATAATGGTTTATTAGCTGTTTTCTAACTTACCTATTGATTAATATTGAATTAGGTATTTTGATTATGGAAAAATAATAGTGCTATTACACTGGTTTGATTATCTCTTAATTTCTTTCAACCTGGTCTTCTTGCCCAACCTGGATGTTCCAGTGGTAGACAAACTGAAAAGAAAAATTTTTAAAAAATGTTATGGTCATTTTCCCAGTTCTTCTGATTGGAAAACTAAGCATCATTTGTTAACCTATAACTGTGCTAATATTACCAATGAGAAAAATAACAATTACAGATTGAGTAACCCTTATGCAAAACTTTTGCAAAAAATAAACTCAGATTTTGATTCTTAAAATTTTGAAATATTTTATATGTATAATGAAGTATCTTGGAGAATGTACTCATTTCAACATACAGTTTACTTATATTTCAAATGCATTCATGGAGTATGTAATTTTAGGTAACATTTTTAGTGTATTTGTGTTGTGCACTTTCACATGAGATCAAGAGGTGAAATTTTCTGTTTGTGAAATTATGTTGGCCTTGAGATTTTTTTTAATTTTGGATTTTTAATCATTTAGATTAGGCAAACTCACCTGTACATAGAATAATGGAGGCTTAGATAAGAGAAAATAAGCACCGAAGAACCTCAGTATTAAGCATGGAAAAGGCATGTGGATTTCCTGAGGTGCTTTCACTAAAAATGTAGGTGACATCCTGATCTTAAGTGTGCACCAAAGATAACCATCTAAACACTGCCCACTAACATCAGAAGATCCACAGTATCTATCTCTATGTGTCTAATATCTATGTAAAAAACTTCCATTTAGCCTTTGAGAGCTAAAACGATACTGCACCTCGCACATTTTTACTTAGTCTATTACTGACTTCAATTGCCATTTTGGATGGGAAATGTCTTGAAAAGCAACAGAAGTGTCTGTGAAATTATATCTTCCATTGGATAACTTGTTGTTATAATGAATAAGTAGAAGAGAAATACTTTTCTCTGATTCCCAGACATATGAATGAATGATGCTCATAGTCACATAACCTCAGGAAATATCCTGCTTAGAGCAGAATGGCAAGTTTATCTGAATACCATTTAAGCCTCTTTTCATTCTTGTGGTACTCTTCTTACCAAAAGCATTCCTCCCATCCTAGGACTAAACAGGGCCATTGAACAACTGACATAAGGAAGGTTAGATATCTTTTGCTGGTGTGTGAATCAAGAGATGCAACCTACTAGAGAAAGGAAGGATGGGCGAATACAGTCCTAATATCCAATGTACCTGTGTTTAAAAAAACATGGGAAAAGAACATGGGAAAATGTAGTTTAAAATTGATGTATACCTTATAAAATTAAGAAAGTGAGGGATGGGGTGGGTTGGGAGACTATTGAAAGGATGACATTGATCAATATATGTTATATTTATAAACTGTTTCTTAAATGGCAACTCCTCTGTACAATTACTTAAAATAATAAAACATGAGAACTAGGTAAAAAGAGGATTGATAGAGTTGGAAAAGATGGGGGAACACAATGGAAAGAATGACATTGAACTCATGAACTGTTATGTTTATGTGAAACCCCTTTGTCAAAGTCATAAAATATAAATAGATAATAAAATATAAAATAATGAATAAATAAATAGAAGGCAGTCAAATTAAGAAAAATAGAGAGAACTAAAACAAGCAGCTCCCTGCCCGCCCCCCCCCGCAAAAATAAATAACCAAATAACATTCCAAAGTGAAGAATATGTTCTGTGACAATGATCTAATTTTCTTCAATGGAAGTGACAAAATTGCTATCTCAGAAAAGGATCAAATATAATACTTTTCCCATTCATGATTTATATTGAATTATTATCAGAAAATGCAGAGGATGTAACTCAAATTATATTTTCATAATCTGGGCTTAAAATTAGCAGGAGTATGATTTATAAAGCATAATCATGTGTATTTTGATCTTATTTCAGGAATGTATATTGGATAAAGTTTCATAGGGATTTTGTTAGTTATTTCAAAGCTTAATAGAGTTTAGAATTAATCCTTGACAGTCTCTGAAATAACCAAAGCTTATTCTTGGCTCTATTTCCTTTGTTAAATTCTTAAGTCTTCTTACTTTTGCTTTATTTACCATGGGAGCATGAACATCATGAATGTCTATGATGTTACTAGTAACTTCAGCCATTTTAGCTTGTATCACATCAGAGTCTTCCCAGTTGCTGTGTGGAAAATACAACTAGTTTAATTTATTCATCAACTCTTCATACATATAAATGATTTAAATACATACATGTGTATACATATATGTATACATATAGATATACATTTATACATACATCAAATTGTATATATACATACATATAGGTATACATTTATACACACATCAAATTAACTTCATGGTAGATAAAAGATTACTAGAGAGAAATAAAACACTTAACAAAGAATTGACATGTACACACTAAGAATAACTGAATGTTATTGGTTCTAATATCTAATAAAAGGAAATAGATTACTGGATTGAAGTTTTTAAAAAAATATTGTTTGCCCACAAGAAATGTACATTACTGGTAAACATAAACAGAGGTTTCAAGGGAAAGTATGGCAGATTTTTCCAATGGAACCGCCACTGGAATTCTTGCATCTAAAATACCAAACTTTAAAACAAAATTAATCAGAAGAGATAAAGAAGTTCTGTTCAACTGAGAAAAAAATTATCAAGAGATTATGACAATTGTAAACCTATTCACTGAGTGCCAACACACTCAGTTTTGTAAAATAAACAATACTAGACATAAAAGCTAACAACAGCACTTGTGGGTGGCCTCAATGTCCTCCCCTCTTCCCATCAATTGTGAGGTCATTCAAGATCAAAAGATATTATGGATCCAATATACTTAACAAACATCTACATAATATTTCACAAAACATAGAGAATACACTTGCTAGGGAGTTCACATAGCTCTTTCAAAATGAGAGATTATATTTTAGACATAAACAAGTCTTTACAAATACAAGAAAAGTAAACTAGGACTAGAAAAGGAATCAAGAACAGACACTACATAAATATTCAATCACCGAAAAACTGAACAATTCACTTTTGAATAATCAAGTGGGTCAATGAAGCAATACAGGAGAAATAAAAAAAACCTCTTAGATCCTTCATTCTTATAATCATATGAAAAAATCAAATCACAACAAACCAGAAGAGAAAAATTTATAACTATGAAGCACATGCTTGAAAAAATTACAAATATTTGAACAGCTTGATTCATATAAATTCCAATATTATAAATTAGATTATACTATTCATCCTGTGATAGGCATAAAATTATCCCCCTGTGATATCTTGACTTGCTAATTGTGAATTTGAAAATACATACTCATTTGATAAATAATGAGTGTTATGTGGCAAAGTGTCAATTACAAGAACTAAAGATAATTCCACTGGAACTATCCAGGTGGACCCAGTGTGTCACCACATGGATCAGAAGATGCAGATAGGCTTAGGCTCAGAGGAGAAGGCCACACAAAAACAAGAACGTATTGAAATGATGTATTCAGAAGGCAAGGGATCTCAAGGCATGGAAGCAGCCAACAGCATCTAGAAAAGAGGTGCTGGTATACTTTGTGGAAGGAAAGGGAAAAAACGAGTTGTTTAAATAGGGATACATGTGGACGCATTGCAACAATGAGATGTACAAGACATTATGTTCGAAAAACGAACTTTACAACTTTGGTGGGGGGGGCAAGGGGTGGTGGGTTGGGGGGTGGGAAAGATGGGAGGGATGGGAAGGGGAAACAAAGGAGGAGGCTACAATGCTTGATAAGAAATATACTCATTACCTTGCTCATGTAATTGTAACCCCTCTGTACGGGATTTTCACAATTAAAAAAAAAAGAATCTAGAAAAGGAAAAGAGATTCTGCTCATTAATATCTTCATACATTGAACCTGTAAAACCATGAGAGAAGAAACTTTCTTTCTCCTTTCTTCCTTTCTTTCTCTTTCCTTTCTTTCATTCTTTCTTTCTTAATTTCTTAATTTCTTTCTTTCTTCCCTTCCTTCCCCTTCCCATTCCCCCCTCCCTCCCTCTTCCTTCCTTCCTTCTTTCCTTCCTTCCTCTCTTTCTCTTTCTCATTCTCTATTCTTTAATTCCTTTAGTTTGCAGTTGTCCCAACCATAAGAAACTGACAAGTCATGCAGTATGAAACTATAGATTTCATTTCCAATTGATTTTAAAATTAGACAAATTATTTATTCAGGTTTGAATGGTTTGCAAAAATGCATAATTTAACTTCTCACCCAGAACTTAGCTCACTGTTTAATAGTAGGATAAGATGAATCGTATGCTAAATAGTCATATAAAGTAAAAAGTAATCACTAGTGATTTAAATATATTTCAGCTCCTAAGGTGTAATTAAATTAAAATGAATTAAGTATTTATTTAATTAATTCAAATCCCCTGGAAGTAAATAGGACACAATTAAACATATTTTAATAATAAAATATGAAAATTTCCCATGAGTAAATAAACATTTACATGAGCCAAAACAGGCAAATGCTGAAGCTCTTAATAAGGTGAGAGTTTCATCTACGTCTGTTTAGTCTCACAAATTACCACCATCTCTTTCACATTCTAATGAAAAAATTATATTTCTGACTATTGCATTTAACTTTTGATGTTCTCTTTTCTTTTAAAAGTGCATTTCTGCCTATTTTTGAAAAAAAGATGGCATAACACTATTTTCTGACATTTTAACACCAAAACATATGAAAATAAATTTCATTTTTTCACTAAACCAAATATACAAATATTTTAATCAATAGAAATGATGGATTATCATGTCATTTAGTTCAGTGAATAGTAAATTTTAGGGGCTGGGAAGGTGGCTCAGTGGTTTGCCTTGAGCTGAATTGC